AGTCCAAGTAGCCCATTCCCCCTTTCCCAACCAAGCGTAAGTAAGCCCTCAAATCCCGAACCCTCAAACCTCAAACTCTAAATCCTTAAGCCCCCTTGCATGCCTTCTCGGCCAATTCTCTTGCCTGTTGGGCATCGCTGAGCCATGCAGACCTCCGCACAACGTCGGATTCAGGGCATAGGGTTTGGGACTTGAGGTTTAAGGTTTTGGATGTAGAGTTGTGGGTGAGGCTGAAAAGCTGACGTTTTCAAGGGATTTGAGGTGTAAGGATTTGGGAACTTAAACAAGGTAGGTGCTTCGGGACTTCGGGATTAGTGGATTGAGGACCGTAAAGGCTGTAGGCTTACTCCAGCCCCTACATTGTGTCTGCTCAACACTGCTATACCTGAGTGACTTTGGACTTGAAATAAGCTCCACGCTGAATAAACTCCACCGTCCCTGCAGGTCTACCTTAAGGCTTTACACATGCTGCTTATGTATCCTGTAAACTCCTTGTGTAATCCCGTAGAGCATGGATAACTGTACAAATTATCATGAATTGGGGGATCTCTTATAGGTTCCTTATGCAATGAACCTTCTGGATAAGGGACTGCACAAAGCAGGAGTCCTTGTATGTGGCCCCAATTTCCTTTTGGGGGAGGACACATATCCACCCAATTATACGCTCTGAACTGCAGACAGGGAGCTGCTCCGAGTAAGCAGCGTTTTCAGTCCTGGCATCAGCCAGTAGCCATGAGGGGCAGGAACATGCAAATGTGGGCTTTAGGAGGCTGCCCTGGCTGTTCCATGGCTGTTCCATGGCTTCATGATGAAGATAAGCCAGACGATCACTATACCTACGAACCCAAAAATCAGTGAAGACGTCCTTGGCCTCTTTGGGGAACATGGGGGTCACAGGTAGTGTAGGTTGTGCGGAGGGGCTGTGGCTAGGGTTCAGTGTATGGGTAGGTGTCTTCCAGGCTGATAACGGATGAATCCCTGCTACAGTTGAAATGGAAAGCCAAACTAATCGTTCGCTTCTCTGTACTTCGCTCATTTTTGTCTTGACGGAAGAACTTCTGCAAACAATCTTCGGAACCATCTCCAGAAGTGCATGCCCACTAGGATTCCCCTAGCTATGTCAGGTTGAGAACCTCTAGCTACTTTGAAAGAAGAGGTATCCGACAGGTTTACCAATAAAAAGGAAGAACCGCTTCTTCACGGAAAACTTTCCCAACTCGCCCTTGCAGCTTGGCGCTGCCTGGTTTAGGGTCCAGGGTTTAGGGTTCAGGGTTCGACAGGATTTAGGGCAAGGTGTGGGGTTGTTGGTCCGGGCATGGTCTCCAGCCGCTCCCTTTCAACCCTGCCTCAAACACTGTAGACTTATGTTGCCAATGGAACGTAGGAAGCCACATCATATCAGCACAAGTCTGATGTGAGGACAGCTCTTACTATCATTAGTATCCATACTCTAATCAGTATCATATTCCCTTCTATCATTTCTGCTGTCAGCACGGTCAGAAAATTATGTACGGGGTTGCAACGAGCTGCCTCTTGACCAAGTTCTCGATGTGGCGGATGTTGGCCTCGAAACGAGTACGCCCAACAACACCAAGAGCTTAGGGCTAATGGTCTATGCAAAACTGAGTGCTTGAAGCTCCAGAATAAAAAATTTAGGGTGTTGAGTTTGAGGAGAATGAAGTTTACTTCCTGCGTCGTGCCGTAATGTTGTGTCTTGTGAGGAAGGAATAAAGGAATGATTCCCTATGACAATCCTCGTAATACTTCCGGACCTCATTCCTCATAGACAGAAGACAAGATATGAACCCTCTGCATATCCAGAGGACACCTTTTGTGTATTCTAACAACCCTAAACCCTAACCCTCTCAGACACCGCCTTGTCCACATCGGGAAGGGTCTGCCACCAGAGCATCAAGTTCCGCAGTGTAGCCACCATAGTGCTATAGCGCTCCTAAGAGGTGGGGTGTAGGTGCTGGGTCTTGAAGGGCTTCTCAAATTGAAGGCGCCTTCTGGATTCAGGTTACTACTAAGTGTGCAAGGATTGAGGATTTGGGTTTGGAGCTCTCAGAACAAAGGCACCAGGAATTGAAGAGCGGGCTACTCTTTAAGGGGGGTTCAGGTTAAGATCTCTGCATAAGCAAGAGACAAAACATCTTTGTTCTAAGTCCTAAGGGATTGGCAGCTTCACTACAGTTACCAGAATTCTTGTCAATGGATTCCTGCTCTTGCGCAAAAATAATGTTGAAATGATGCAACCTTGAACCTGAAACCCTCGTGTCCTAAATCCTAGACCTCAAACCGCCTAACCCGAGAGCCCTAAACCCTGGGCTTGACAACCCAAAGCCAAGACCCTAAGACCCAAACCTAAAACAGGAGACCACGCCAAACACGTTCCAAAAAGCAACCCAGGCTCCAGCTTCTTGTCCACACCTGCGGACATCGCAAGAACAGATGTCCACTCGACTCTCTAAGCAACCCTAAGCCCTCAAAATCCTAAACCCCTAAACCCTGAAAATCCAGCCCCGAGAGACTGCAACTTTGAGGCGAATAAGGGCTCCCTGATTGGGGCAGCTCAAGCCGACTTGGAGCCTGAATGCCAACCCACGACTCCCTAAAACCCTTGAGGCCTTGGCCGCAGAATGCCGGGTATAAGGTTTAAGGCTTTCAGCCCCAAAACCTTGCATGCCTGAACCTCACACGGTTTGGCCCCTGCACCCCCACCTGTGAACTCCTGCCACGAACCAATCGCGCCCGAGATGGTAACCTGCGGGGTTCAACATTCGGAGCCTGCTAGTGTGGAAGGTTGAGGGTTTGGGGGTTCGTGGGTTCAGGTTTAAGCGTTCACGGCATCGTAAAACCTGAACTCTAAATCCCTAAACCTTGAGCCTGCTGAACTGCAAGCACTTAACGACGTGACCCCCGACCCAGCCCTTTAACCCGAAACCCCTTCACCCTACACTGCTACACTGGAAGCCCATACCCTTATAGAACCTAAACACCAAACCTCTGATCCCTAATCGTGAGCTGCAAACCTCGTAACCCTACAACCTAAGTACTTAACCATAATCCCTAATCCATCAAAAGCCAGGAACTACGATGGCGGTCCAGGAGGTCTGATCCGCCGCAGAAAGGACGGCTGTGAGGATGGTAGAGATCCTTTAAGGATTTAGGGTCCAGGGTTTAGGATTTGGGCTTTAGGGTTTGGGTTTGGGGTTTAGGATTTGGGGTTGGGGTTTAGGGCTTGAGGCTCGAGGATTTTGAGCGCGGGGTCTGGGAGTTTCGGGTTTACGGTTTGGGGCTGGGTTTAAAGTGGACGTGGGAGGTAGCTTTTTTTGGAATGGGGACGTATTCATCAAGTGCACACAAGTCCGGCCAACAAGGGCCCAGGATCATGAATAAGGCTTGTGTAAGCAGCCGCCGCCACATGTAGGTCGGAATCCGATTCTGATAGAATCTCAGCAGAGGACTCAATCTCCAGGTAATGTAATCATCCGGGCTTGCAGGTGCATGGTGGCTGTCCTTAGCACAGCACTAAGGTCTGCATTCATGCATCGGGGGCTGCTTTCAACATGCGTCTAGTGCCTGGATGTACTGGGGAATATGATAAAAGCGGCATGTGGCGTTTGCTTGCCATTCAAGATTGTGCCTGCTGGCAGCAGCAACCCTTATAGCGAGGAGGGTGGTAACCGTGACAAGCCTTGGAGAAAGCCAGCTGCGACAAGAAAATGGCCTACCACGACAAGATCTCCTGGAAGCAAAAGCCACTAAAAGAAACCTACAGCGACAAAAGGCGCGCCTTCTGTTAACCCAAACTTTGACAGGAACTATCCCACAGCTTCCCCCCTACTAGTCCATGATTTCAAGAGCGGATGCTCCAAAGCAATAACATGGGGCAGATGCTCGTCACTTTGCCACTTGCCGCAGCCCTGCAGCCCTTTCGGCCCTCCAAAGCTCCAAAAACGTGGAGCAAATGCCCCTCACCTTCCCACCCACAGTTCAGCAGGGCCACCGAGCTGTTCTGGGTTTTCGGCGTTTTCAGACTTCCAAACCCCCCAAAACCTGGAGCAAATGCCCTTCACCTCCCACTTCCCTGCAGCCTCACAGCTGCCGCCTGCACCATGTTTTCCGCATATTCCGCCCCTGAGAACCTGAAAAAATGGAGCAATTACTTCTTACCTTCCTGCCGCCACGAGACCTGATCAATGTTTTCGGTATTCTTGTCCCTCCAAGAGCCCCATGTCGAAGCTTTGAGTAGGAGACCCATACTACTCAAAGCTTTGAATCGGAGACCCCCAAGTTTTATCTAACTTGTACCGCTTGTACCAGTCCAGTGATGGACGCCATGGCTCCTACACAACAAGCCCTTCCGTGCCAACCTGAAGAAGCGGCAGTCCAGAACCAGCAGTCATGAATGGAGGCAAAATTGGACGTCCGTATACCAAGACTTGTTGGTCTTTGTTCTGGTAGCAACTTGTTGTGCCCTATACTCCAGTTATGCAAGGTCTGTAGTATTTGTCAGACCCATTCAGGGATTCCTTGTTTGATCCACATGGGGGAAGCTGAAAAGCCCTGCGCTTCTGTGAAAACAGCCTTGAACCCCTATCGGTGACCCCAAGCCAAGGCCATTGAATTCAAAACCTGACTTCTCAGAATGAAGGTGGCAGCATTAGGTTGCAGATAATCAGATTCCGATTCGCAGCACGTGCGACTCTGTTGCACTTCTGACCAGCCATCTGATTCCTTTGAACATGTGCAATAAACCTGATACAGAGATCCTTTCTAGCATCATGATCCTTGACCCTAACCCGAGCCAGTACCGCACACCGCAAACACAAGCATCAGTACCATCAGCAGAAGCACCATCACGAGCGTCAACACCACAACTACCACCAAGGATGCCACCACTGCAACCATCATCACTATCCGTAGTACGAATATCAGACTCCTATCACTTGTTGTTAGCTTCAATATCTTCAATCTCTGCATGGCAGCCAGGCATCCTTTCCGAGAGGTGGTTCGTCAGGAACAGACCTCCGGTATTGGTGATGCTTGTAGTGGGCAGCCGTCAGCTTGTGCTGTCCTTAACAAGCTCTGCCCGGCTTGTGAGTGAGAGAGAGGTATGGGTGGAGGAGGGGGAGGGGGCAAGGAACACAAAATAGGGGCCGCCCTTCTGGGGTACCTGCCATGAAGACTTTATGGAAACACCCCCGAACAGTTTGGTGTGTCAGGCGTGTTGGCTTCAGGAATCAGACTTGATGCGAAGAACCCTAAACCCTAGACCCCTTTAAGAAGAAGGAATGTTGGCTGCGAAGCTTTGTACATATTTGTCTTCGACTACTCATTGCAGCTGAGGGTGAAGACTATAATCTTAAGAATTGGTGGTTTCCAGTTATCGGGGTTTCCCCCCCTCTTATAATCTCAAATGCTGCATTGCCTAGTGCGGTCCCTAATGAGGTCCCCATGACTTGGGAAACCATGTTTGGGGGTTTGGGCTCGTGGTATGTGCTGGGGTGCCGAGGCTCACGTTGTGAGCGTCAGGGTCAGTACACGGTTCAAGTTTTTAGGTTTGGGTTTTTAAGGCAAGGGCTTAGGGTTTAGGTCTAAGCGTCAACTCAAGCCCCCAGCCGTCTGACTGTGATGGCATTATGCATACGGCGATGTATATGTACATGTGTATGTGTATATGCATATATTATATAATCATGTATGCATGCATGCGTGGGCCTGACATGCACAGAGCACATCCCCGCACAAACCGAACTTCCTTTTCTGTACCCCTGCATGCCAGGTGTCCAGTATCAAAGTGCTAGGGAAATTTCTCCACTGATTTGAGAGCGGCCTGTTTTCAAACTGCGCATCTGCTACACAAGCCCTATGCTATCCACAGGCAATCATACATATCCGTACATATATATATATATATAGATAGACACACATATCTTGCGTCACCCTTGCATCGTGGATAAACCCTACAGCCTAAACCCCAAGCGAAGATACCTGCCCTAACCCTACACCCTGGAACTTACCCCCAAAACCAGCTTTGTGGCAGTCTGGGTCGAAGTCAAGCAGCGCATCCTCTCCTTGATCATATCTTCGATCCTTTGGCTTCGGGTTCAGGGTTTACGGCCTGGTTTTAGACATTAGGTGTCAAGGTTATAGGTTCGGAGCATAAGCTTTGGGATGTTATTCACAGTCTTTTCTGAGTCTGATGGGGACAGCAAATGTGCGATTTGAGGATCATAGGCTCGGTCAGAAAACATGGGCGGTCCCATTGAGGCCTGTATGGGAAGGAGTGAGGCTGGAATATATTGGGATGCCGGTCTTCAGAAATTCTGCATGCAGTCCCCAATGAAGATTCGCTATGTGTGTATGAAAGGGCATAGGTACAGAATAAGCCTTACACGTTTATGGGGGTTTCGATTCATGTTGACATGGTGGCTGCGCTGGACAAAACTTGCAAAGTTCTCCAGAACTCCAGATCCTTTCTCGAAATGCTCCCCCATACTCCTGCAGACTCGAACAGGAACACCTAGAAGTTATTGTGACCATGAACAAAAATACATTAAAATATATATATATACATATATACATATGTAAACAGCACATATATCCCTGTATGTGCGTGAGGGTACACCTAAAGTTAAGAGAGCCCCATGTTAAAGTTACTTTGGAAACTTCACCTTCAAAATTAGCCCTAGCAGCTGTTGTCTGTTGCCTTCAACACGGATACATACGTCGTCAGTTGTCGTATGCGCAGAGATGAGGACCTTGGCACCTGACAGAAAGGGCACGAGGGTTCAGGGGTTTGGGGTTTCGGGTTTAGATACATACGGGCCGGTTTGGATGTTTGAAGCTTGGCTGGGGTATAGGTCTCTCTAAATGACAGATACCTTTTGGGCTCAAGGTGTGAGGTACACATCTGTGGCCAAAGCTTTGGGCGCTGGTCTTTGGACTTCTGGGTTGAGTCTTGCAACTGCAATGCAGGGTAGTTGGGAATGGTGGTCTTCCCTTGGCCATAGCTGAAGCAGGCAAGGCACCCAGCACGCTGTCCGTCACCAAGAAGATCATCCTCGCAGCAGTTTTGGCCGAGGAGTTTGTTTGCTGGGCGGCCCAGTGTTGAGGGTATCAAGGATACTGGAGGATTGTCTCTGATGCTCGCCTTCAAAGCTTTCAATACCAGAGTTGGAGGAAACTAACTGAACTATCTCAGGAACAGCACGGACCCCAGGGATACAGAGGCATTATATAAGGATCATAAAGGTCTTCCTTAAGTGTGATACAGCGAACTTTTTAGAAACGCCCAAACCATGCAAGCAGAGTTGCTTTTGGAAATGCTGTTCAGCGCGGCGCTCTGCCTTTTGGGCGGGGTAGAGTTGCTTCAATCACTGGGGCTGAGGGTTTAGAGTTTAGGCTTCAGGGTAGGCATGTAGGATTTCGGTACTCAAGGGCTCTGAAGCGCTGATATTGGTTTTTTTTTCGGCTTCTATAATGCTGTTCTCCAAGTCGGGAAACCCTCTCATGGGCCTGCTTCTTTGAGTATAGAAGCGCAGATGTAAGCATTTAGGATGGGTTTCTTTTAGGGAAATTCCCGCAGGATGGACTCCAGGGATCCAGGTGTTTCTCAGAATGTTGGGTTCCTCTACAGGTTGATGAAGCAAGGCTTCTGTTGTCTGATATGGTGTGACCACCCAGTCTGGCATTGGCATAACACAAAACGAAGACCGTGAAGCCCACAGCTGTAATCACCCAAGCCCTTGCGTGGAGGGTCGTGCAACGCGGCACAAAAGGCGATTGAGGCAGATTTGAAGTACGCTGCTCTATACATCTACAAGGGCTGTGACGGAATACTCTGCATACTTCTTCAGGGATTCTGCTCTTAACCCTACAGCTAAACCGACCATATACAGCCCGAGCCATTAACCCCTAGACCCTAAACCCTAAACCCCAACCCCTCCAAACACTGAGCCCCAAACCGAAGTCAGGCTGACATCCTGCCTCTGCTCGCCCTACATTGAACTGGGTCAGGTCGTTGGATGCGTAGGCACCCACCCGGGTCCTGGCAGGCCATCTTCTGGTTTGCTTGATTAGGGTTTAGGCTTCTGTTAAAGACATTTATTTAAGTGACTATAATCAGGAACCCCTACTATTATTTACCATATACCCATAATATGGTAAGATTGTCTAAGTTCCTTAACAGCAACATGAGTTTTACAGTGTTATATTGTCTAGGGTTTACACAACAGTTTGGGGCACAGGATTTTGCGGTCTAGGGTTAGGGGATTAGGGCCTACGTGGTGTTTAGTGATTAGGGTTTAGGAAGGTTTAGGGCCAGTTTAGGGTTTACATAGGGTTTGGGACTTGGGGTTGCGAGTTTAGCGGTAATGAATGACAGAGTGTGGGGGCCAGAGATTGCCTAAGCCAGCTGGGATGTCGTGTGCGCTGCTGTCCTGTTCACGAGTGCTAGCCTGGGTGGGAGAAATCTATCCAGCAAAACACTCCTGCAAGTTATTATTAAGATAAGATCTGTGAGCCCACCTGCTGAAAAGGCAGGAGTCAGGGTATGCTCATGAGTATGCACATGAATCACCCTGAATCTGCTAGAGGCCTAAGATCCGAGAAGGCCTTGCAGTAGCCAAGCGGCACCCTTTTGAGCATACGTAACCCAGATTGCAGCAAGTAGTTCGCATCATTCACCCAAGAACAAGCATATGTTGCTTAGACATAAGAAGTGGTAGTCTCCCTGTCTCCCTCAGGTCTCCCTCAGAAGGGGGACCCTTATATAGACCCCAATATACTATAGTCCTTGTTATGAAGACCCCCAAGAATGTACCCCAATTTTGGGAAACCCTTAAGTTCACATCAATAGCAATTCCTCTTTGGATGCTGGCTGAAGCAATGTGTTGACGGTCCTGAATCTCCATATCTCTGCCTGAAGCATCTGCGAACCAGATCGAAGCTTCAGCCACTTCCTCACAATCTGGCTGGGGTTTCCTGTAGCCTTTGCGCGTTGAGAATTGGGGGTTTAGGCTTCAGCTTGGCGCGTTACATGACTTTTTGATTTGTCTCACATAGTCCTGAAGGCTAGCAGCCATATACCCTGAACACGAAGGTATTGCCTGCAAACCAGGGAACTGAACTGAAAAAATGAAACCTCAAAACCTGAAACCCCAATCCCACTGCACCCCAAGACCCACCAAACCAACAAAACACCCTAAAAATCTTTCAAAATCCCCCAACCCAAGTCCCTCAACAGCACCTCTGCTGGCAAGGCACTTAGATGGGTCTGTGAAAGTGGTCCAAGCAGCAAGGCTGCTGGAGCCCAGGCCCAGACCCAGAACCTTCTTGTTAGCTCGTTTTCGGGTTTAGGGTTGAAGGGTTTAGGTTTAGGGTTTGGGGTTTGGGGTTGTGTTCTTAGGGTTTAGGCTTTGAGGTTTTCGGTTTAGGGTTTGGGCTTGCTGGTGGTTTGTAAGGAAATGAACAATTGTTGGTAGGGAGTTGGAAATGCAAATGAAAAGTACTACCTCATCATTTAAGGTGTAGAGTAAAGTTATGATAGGGATTGGAAAAACAAATCAACAAGCAAACGTGGCATGAAACGGAAACTGGGAGCTTGTAGGGATGTATAGGGTTTGGAGTTTAAAGTTTGCTTGCAGCTTGTCTGTAGGGAATGAAGAAATCGAAAACAAAAATAAAAAATACCATTTTAGTAGGGATTCTTTAGCAGCTACGACACGAGAATTTGCGCCGTTTTGCAGGACTCGTCTTAAGAGTCTGGGAGACTCAGAGATGTCCAATCAAGAGAGCCAAAAGAGGGTGGAATAACATAATTCCCAAGGAATTGGGGTCATGCCGGATTGTGACTATCAGTGCTATCGAAAAAGTTGTCAGGTCAGACTTCGAAGCAAGAGCGTGGGCAGTTGGGAGATGCAAGTCGGACATGCAGCTTGACCGCATACGTTGGTTGAGGTGTTTGTGATTATGGTTTAGGATTTAAGGTAATGGATGCCAAAGTTGTGCTTTACAGTTGTGGGATTACGGGCTCAGGGGTCTCACGATTTTTTTCTTGGGTCCACTGGTATGGAGATAGCGCTGCATGACGCTCTTTGCTCTTCACTACGGCATGCCCTTGCAGAGACCTCTGCCCAGGAGGATCACTTAGATCCAGAATGCGCCCTGCACGGAAGAAGCCAATTCACAGCTATCGGACAACGGGATGAATTGTTGCGGTGCCTCAAAGCACCCCGCCTTCTGTCAAAAACCAGCTTGCATGTACTGTACGTATATATATATATAACATAAATACAACGAAGAGAGATGGGCCTTGAAGGGCCATAGCAAGGGCGCGAGTCTGTAGCCTACGATGTATGTGCCACGAATCAGATATGTCACAAAGCAAGATCCCCATGGGGTATACACTTGGCCTTGTCAGACTCTAAATCAAAACCTCGTGCAATGAAATTGATGGCCAAACATGACAGTTGTTCAATCAACCTGCCCGTATTTGAAGCTCTTTGTGGGAGTCTCTCAAAACAGGAGCACCCTGCGAAGGCCTGCAGGCTTTTAAGGAGATAATGGGCCGCCCTAAGGCCAGGGGCATTTTTAACAACTCTCTGAACTCTAAACCCTCTAACCCCAAAAAGCTCTAAACCTTCAACCCTTCGACAGCTAAACTCTGTATTTAAACCCTGCCCTCCAAACCTGAAACCCTACACCCTAAACCCTACCAAGTGGCTACAAACTTCTTCGTCTCTGCCGATAGATCGGCAGTCCAAGCTGAGGTGGTAAAGAACACCACCTCTCATCGTGAGGGGCGTGGGGCCCGGTCAAGGTTTGGGGTTTAGGGTTCAGTGTTTAGGGTTCATTTGGGGCTTAGGGTTCATTTGGGACTTAGGGTTCATGTGGGGTTTAGGGTTCATGCGGGGTTCAGGGCTTAGGACCATGCAGAATCAAATGGAAAGCCTATCAAAATAACACGGAAACTAGTATGAGGCTTAGGGGCCCAAAAAAGTACCAAGAAGAGCGAATCAAACGGAAAGGGGCATGGAAAAACTGGGATTAGCTGGAGGTTTCTAGGATGTTGCATTAATGTGCATGGCTTTTTGCTTGGCTGCACGGTTTAGCAAACCCATTTTCTATATCATTTGAAGTCTATTTGACGTACCCTATGCCAGAATTCTACATGTAGGACCATAACGATGGTACTTGTTTAGGCTCTCCCATCAGGGTTTAGGGGCCCGCGCTTAGGGTGAGGGCTCGTGCTTTTTAACCTTTGGGCTGAAGGTTTTGGGTTTAGAATTTAGGGTGTTGGGTTTTGGAGCTTGGGAAGTGACTGCCATGACAGAGTGATGATAGAAGTCACATGAACAATCAGTAGACCTGCAATCTTCCTTGGTTTAGGGTGTTTAGGATGAAATTTCTGAAGCTAGTCCCTCTCGCCCGCATACCCGTGGCAGCGTTTGCTATCAGCCCAAACATTACCAAATAGCATGTGCCCTCGACAGGAAATGAGAATTATCCCGGCAAGGGCTAAGCACAAGAGCCCCAGTGAGACTCATGGACCAATGAATCCTCTCCATGTAGTACCTAACCATAAGCCAAAATCCCCACATCCCAATCCAGATCCCCGGCCCAACAGCCCCCCAACAGCCCAAACCCTAAACTTCCTAAACTCAAAATACCTCAACTGTGTGGCAAGTGGCCACTATACCCATCAACAGCAGCAAAGCGTAAGCAAGTTTGGCCCAGCATTTGTAGCGGCTCGCTTTCTCATCCTCGACTTCCAAAGAAGCTAACATAGAGAAAGACAACAAAAAAACATTTCCTTTAGGCAATTCTGGTTCGGGTTCAACATTCAGCCGCTGTATATAATGTCCCCATGAGGCCCAAAGCATGACAAACAGCTCTACCGCGCAGGATCCGAGCGTCAAAGATATCTGCCAGAGTCCAGGCACAGCGAAGGAGTAAAAGCGCTTCCAGGCCTAGGCTGCCATCTAAACACACCTGACAAAGCATCAAACCCGAAAGCCTCCATCATTAACGATTACCCCTCAGTTGTTCAAGCCTGAAACCCAAAGTCTGGAAACCCTGAGCTGAAACCCAACGCCGTTAAATCCCAAAGACTAAAAGCTGAAAACCCCAAACCCGTAAAGTTAAGGAAAACACACGGCATTGTCCATCATTTTTGATGTCCCTGTATACCCTTATATCCTACGCCCCAAAAAAATTGCCCCTCAAGCCCAATTAGTTGGCATCCTGGGTACTGCTACTGTCCGGCAGCCGCTCAGATCGGGAGAGTTTATGGATCAGCTGCTTCCTGAGAGTTGAGGGTTTAGGCTTGTCATCGGTTCCCCTTTGATTCGGGTGTTTTAAGGCTAGTGAAAGCAATTAAGGCCAGCTTGAACAAAAAAACTTAACCCAGGGTTCAGGACTTTAAGGCTAAGTTTAGGACTTCAAGGCGTGGAGTTTGGGGTTGAGCCGGTGCAGGGGCTCCTCTTTACCTGTCCCATGAACACTGCAGATCGAGTCAGTGCAAGACACCCTAAACCCCAGAAGACAAAATCCCAAATTCCTGAGCCCTAGACTTAACCCTAGATTCCTAAACCCCAAACCCTCAGCCCTGAAATCCTAAACCCTGGAACCCTAAACCCTAACTAAACTCCCAAACCACCAACCACAAACCATAAACCCTAAACTCGAACGAAAAATGCAAAGGCTCTGAACCCTACAACGGTAAACCCGAAGATGCCACATACGAAAGCCTAAAACCCCAGGAGGAAGCTCCGTGTTAGACTCATTTCATGACCTCGTCCCAGCTTCAATTTGCGATAGTCGCTCAAGTCGCAGCTGTGCACATTGTTGGTCTTCCTGATTGCAAAACTTCGAACGGTTTAGGGGTCCTAGGGCTTTGGATTAGAGGTCTAGGGTTGTCTTGCAGAAAGGCATCTGCTTTGGCGAGTTCTGTCAGCATTAGAAGGGAATGACTGCGGACATCCTAAGTAGCTAACGACTTTGCGGAGCCCAACCTGAAAATTAGATTTGCTGCTACATGGAATCTCAACCCCACCAGCCCTCAACTCCCAAACTCTAAAGCTGTCGTCCCAGCAGCAAAATGTCGTAGACCGCCAACCACTTCTTTTTGTCACTCATCACTCGCTTCACCTTACTTTTGGCAATAGAGGTTCCGAGTAAGCGAACATCTGAGAATGAAGCTAAGTAGGTCTAAGCATTAAGAAGCTGAAAAAACTTTAGAACAATAGAAATGGTAACAACAGTGGTGGCAGCACGCGGCCCAGGGCAACAGCGGCGGCTGTGCTGGTGGTGGTGGGGGCAGTGGCGGCAGCGGCGGCGGCAACAGCGGTGGTGGTGGCGTCGGCTGTATCTGCGGTGGCGTGTTGGCGTGGTGGGAGAGGGGTGGTAGGTGGTGGGGGTAGGGGTAGTGGGGGCGGTAGCGCCGGTGGGGGGTGGGGGCGGTTGGGAGGACAATACCGTGCGCAAAAGCAATGAATCTATCAGCGGGTCACGGACGCTGTCTCCGAGTCGTACCGCCTGTCGGAGAGCAGCCAGTTCCGCAGATGCGCGTTGAGGGAGCCTTTGCATGCTGCATGTTTAAAGTGCCCCTGTACCCAAATGTTTGAATGCATATAAGCCATGTAACTATGTAAGTTCTTCTTCAGCAGCCATGCAAGGGTGAGAGCTCATGGGGAGATCACGGCAATTGCGGCTCATAGTATGTAGGGCTCAAGAATCATGTCCGGGGAGTGCACAGCAGCTAGCAGGCATTCTATAGGTATACCCTTCTGCCAAAGCTTTGAGAATGTCTAGGCTTGCATTTTTCTCAGCTTTGAAGCTTCTGGTACAGAACAGCTCAGAATATTGGAGGGCAGGGCTTCTTCACTCGAATGGTACCTCTGGTGTAGTAACATGAGAAATCTGGAGCAATTGGAGGTGTGACCATTGGCTTAGCTTCGGTCTTAAAACCAAAGGATGACACTTCATTTGGGGGAGAAAAAATTGTATAGGGTCTGTGTCCTGATAAGTTTTGACCGAAAGTTTCATGTTTGCTACCTTTTTGTGCGCCCGTTTGGTGCCGGGGGGTTGTGGGGCTCTCCCAGACTATTTCTGGGCCTTTGAGGGCTCTCCAGCCCGCTTTTGGTCTGGCTTTGGGGGCTCTGCCAGATGGCTGTGTCTGCCAGACGATTTGTGGTTTGTCTGGCTCTTGTTGGGGCTCTCTTCCTTGCCTACCAAACCATTTCTGGCCGTTTGGCTTGCGCGTGGGGTGTGTCTCATTTAGCTCGTTTTGACAAACATGGTCTCGGAGACTCCCGAAATATCCTCAAACAGCCCAGATCATTTCGGGGGCTGAGTTTGGAGCTCTCCCAAACCATTTCTTGGTGCTGTTTTGGCACTCAGAATATTTTCGCATTTTTGAGTATATTTGTTGTACTGCTTTTGGGGCTGTTGCCCAGACCATTTCTGGGCTGTCTTGGGGTTCCAGACCATTTCTGGGCTGTTTGGGTCTATCTCTCCAAAATATTTTGGGATTGTGTATTTCTGGGGCTGATTTTGGAACTATCTCAGACCATTTCTTGGGGCTGTTTTAGGCTCTCCAAAACTATTTCTGGGTTGTTTTGGTGTTGTTTCGGGCTCTCCCAGACCATTTTTGGGTTGTCTCACCAAACCATTTTGGGAGTATTTATTTCCGGGCTGTTTGGTGCCTGGCTGCTTTCGGGCGGAGCAGGGACCTGGAAACAGCACCAAATTGTTTAGGTTAAAACAATGGGCCAACAAACTTCATGTCCGCTTGTGAAAGTATACAAGTTCTATTTACCTTCGGCTTGAGGGTTTAGGGTTTTGGGTCCAGGGTTTGGGTTCAGGGTTTACTCAATACTTGCTTGGAGCTTTCCCTGGGTGAGCCCCCTAGGGTCCGTTTCGTCATTCCTAGTACCTTGTTTCCTTTTTTCGGAATTGGTTCTAAATCATCTCTACTCGGAGAGGAGACTAGCCTTGAGAAACTGCTAAACCTAAATCCCAAGCTTTCTTCCCACACCTCAAAATCGTGTAAACGCCAAACCCTGAGCCCTACACCCCAAATCAAAATCACTAAACCCCACGCCCCAAATCTTTCGCGAAAAACTACACGTTAAACCTCGTGCCAACCTGCCCAAGTGGCGCTGGGCTTCAGTCACAGTCACGCCCACCTGCTCCAGCTCCGCTCGGTTTAGCTCAAACTTGAAGAAGCCTCAGCAATTCATGGTAGATTTGGTGTTAGGGCTGAGGGATTGTGGCCTTAGGGATAACATGCAAAAACAAGCACAAACAGTAGCAGTAGCAGTAGCAATAGCAGTAGCAATAGCAGTAGCAATAGCAGTAGCAGCAATACGATTTGCAACAGCAGTAGCACAAGCGGTGGTGGCGGTGGTGTCGGCAGAAGTGGCAGCAGTAGCAGCAGTACTGGCAAGGAGGAAAAAATCGGCGCCACGTAGAGGACGAATGAGAACACTTGACTTTCCTGTGTGAGATCGTTGGAAGTCGAGGAAACTGCCGTCCCAAGCAAAATCACAAGCCCTTGGTGCCAAAGGCGAATCACTCTCAGCCCCGCCAGCGAAACAGTGCAACTGAATTCCACTATCCGCAGATTTCCGCAGCATGCTAACATGACTGACTGATCGAGTGTAGTTTCAAACCAGTGGCCAGTGGGCTTCATGTCATTCCGCGGCCTGGCAAAGTCTTGAATGCGTGGGAGTGACTTTGCCGGGAAATCTACGGGCCCTGTGTGACTGAGAAACTGGGGCGGCTCAAGCGGCCGTGGCGGTGCTAGTGGCGAAGCTACAAGACTTACAATGATGACAAACATGACATCGACCACAGCGGCAAGAACCACGGCCGAAATGAACCAAGAATGGCGACGTCTTCACGTGGAGGTGTTTTCGGGCTGGCGGCAGGCTCTCCCTCTAACATCCAGCCCAAACTACATGAAGGAAGTTCAAGTACGGATTCAAAAGGGTGTTGCATCGCGCATTGCTTTCAAAACCTTCTGAGTGCGGGCAGTAAGCAAAGCTGATAACAGGATGCTGAGAGCTCCCTAACGCCTCCATCTTTTCTGCTGTGAGTCGCGAGCTACATTCGGCCACAGCTTAGCACCCAACTCTGAAATAGCAAAAGCACCACAGTCGCTCCGACATAAAGGGAGGACACATGCATCTTCTCACTGCCCATTTCCCCAAGTTATTGCTGCTATCCCCTGGTCTTACTACCCTCATGACACATCTACAGCTCACCCCCGGTTGCATGACTGATGACGCCACCCAGGCTTCCGGAACTCAAGGAACCCTCAAGTGTGTCCCACGTCCGCGGATTTCTTGCAAATTCTTGCCCCAATGGAAACGAAAGGGTCAGGCGAACCCTAAAACCTAAATCCTAAACCCTAAAACCCTCAACCCTAAACTGTGACCTGGCCAGGATCAGAGGGGTGCCCTCTGCTGAAGTGCCTTCCATGGTGACCTGAACGGGAAGTCTAACATGGGGGCCTTGGGATGCTGGGTTTGGGGGAATTCGGGTCCTAGGACGAAGGCGTAGGGTTCCGAACCTATCACCATACTGTAAGCGGGAGTGTCTGAAACAAATCACCGCATGATCCTTAAGAAGGAACCCCATAATCCCCTCATAACTCCTAGGGTCCCTTGGGCCCCACTCTTGTTGAGATATTCCCAGCTCCTTCATCGCTATGGCGTGTAATCTTGAGCCTGGAAGGTCCTGTTTTGGATTTAGGATTAAAGGTGTAGGTCTTAAGATGTAGGGTTGGGGTTAGGGTTTCAGGGCTAAGGGTGTAGGGCTTAGAGTCTGGGTTTTAGGGCTGAGGGTTGAGGATTTAGGGTTAAGGCTTTGGGGTTTGGGTTTTAGGGCAGAGGAAGGCTTAGGTGTGAAGTTTTAGGGTTTGGATGGGTTTGGGTCCTTAAGGGGATCGGGTTAAAGAGGGGCAGGTGTTGAGAGACCTTAGGGAGCTCCTTGGGGGCACTGGGGAGGATTAACAGAGTGTTCTTGATTCCTAGGTGCCCTACCTCTTTTGAACCACTCCGAAAGGATCAAATAACCACAGGTGATTCAACTCCTCCTGTGCCTGTGGGGCATGAAAAACCCACAGAATCACAATCCCTGCGGCGTCCCGCGCCAAGAGATGCCAACAACTCCCCACACCCGAAGCCCTAAACCCCAAAACCCTGCATATACCCTTGAACCCTGAACACTCAAATGGTAGTTTCCCTAAATATCAGGACCCCAATATAGACCCTAGTATACTAAAATCCTTCTTATGAGCGCCTGCAAGAAAGTACCCCTTATTTGGGGAAACCTCCAAATCCAAAGACCCTAAATGACAGTTTCGATTTTCTTTTCTATTATCCTAATACAGCCCCCTATATAACCCCTATATACCGTTTAAAAATACCCCTAGACCCCGAAGCAAAAGGCGGCCTTGTCCCAGCCGTTGTGAACGATGGCATTGTGGAGCTTGGGGCAGTCCTAGGCTGCAAGTTTATTGTTGAGGGTTCAGGATTTAGAGTTTATGGATTTGCTGGCGACCTTTCCCCCAAAAAACCGGGGCTTCCAGAAACCGGGACCTCGGTGGAATGGGTTGGGTAGGGTGGGACAGTGGCGTGGCGGGCTGGGAGAACTGAAGCATAGTAACATCCTTGGAAGCACCACATGCAGAAACTGTTGCTTTTTACGGCATTTGTGATGGTTTCTGTGCGGGTGAGGCACGTTCCTCGACAACCCTCATCTGCTTAGCCTCTTTACAACACAGAACAGCTAACCCACAGCATAGAACATGTGAGTCGAGTCTCAGTCTTCCAAGTGTCCTCCAGCTCTTGCCAACTTCTGCAAACCTTTGGATGAGCTAAGCTTCAGGTTCCTGGACTTCAGGAGGAAAACCTGGTGGGGCTGCTGTTTAAGAGTGCACAGGGGGTCAAACCTCACAGTTTCAGGGTGCCACACTGAAGCGGCCGACTGAATTGGGAGGACCCTACCTAAACCTGAACCCTCCCTCATCTGAGCAGCCCCACGGAACTGCAAACACGATTCCAGAAGCCGTGACATTGCTGCCAGTACTCTGTATAAGAATGTCCTCAGATCAGGGGTGCCTTTTTGGGGCGTCCCCAAAAGAAGGATTATAGCATGGGATGTGCGTGAAATTGCGGTGAGAGTGTGTGCCCGCCACGGCTGGTGAGGCATGGGAGTTGTGTGAGAGAACCTCCGTTCAGAAAGTGCTGGTGATGTGATGGATGTGCTGCAGGCCTTTGAAAACTGGAATGCTCAGAGCTTGTGGAGATCTGGCTGGGATTCCAATCCCATGTTCCATGTGAGCTTGGGGATGACTACCTTCTTGTAGGTTCGCGACTTTCGCTTCAGGCTTGACTGAGTTTTGCGCTCCATTTGGAGGGTTTTGGAATGCTTGCACGCCTTCGCCAGTCTGGGGGTGACCTTCTCGTGAGCAGCACTGCTCGCTCACATCTACTTTTCGCAACCGCTACAGAATCCCGGCTTATAATGCCTACACTACCTGATCCGGCTTTCCAGAAACCCGGCCCAAGTCTGTCTGGCCTGAAGGTTCTCCATCGCCTCCTGCATTCCTCGGTGCCCAAATTCATGTCACGAAATATGCGGGAGGTTGCAAAAGTGTATACGGGATTCCTTGGAAACGCTGCAAGAGAGCATGCGCAAAATCATGACACGAGAGTAGAACAACTCGATGATACTACGCTCAGCTTCATGGCCCGCTGGAGCCTGAAGTAAACTCATACAAGCCTACTGCTCCGCTGCCTTTGTCCCCCATCTGAGGAACTCAACAACCTTTCCGCAGACATTTAAGACTCTTCAGCTGAGATGCTGCTTGCATTGACTGCTGCTTCTTTGGACGTTTGCAGGCCTGGGCACATGGCTTGAAAAGGTTTTGGGGTGTAGGGCTCAGCACTGTGTTGAGCTTAGATTTCGGGGTTTAAGGAGTCAAGATTCGGGATTCGAGGTTGTGTGATTTGGGGTTGAGTGGTTGAGGGGTTGAGAGTTGCCTTACATACTACATGTTCAACATCTGCGGCTCAAGACATAGGATCTGAGGTGTAGGGCGCAGACATATGAATTGTTTCCATGACTCATATCATGGTCCGTGGGGAGTAGCGCTTTGCACAGTGAACATTCGGCAAAGTCCTCCCCAATGCGCTCTTCACTGTTTCGTCATACGAGTTCGCAGCAATTTCGTATACCTACGGTTCTTGACCATGAACCATTCATTCAATTTGCCTTCAAAAACATCATAACTCCTAGCACTGGAATTGCTGTTACACTAGCAAAATGATGAGAAGGTTTTTGGATATAGATATAGGACCAACTAGCTGCCCTGAACACTCATGAAGGGCTGAGGGTTTGTGGTTCTAGGGTTTGGGGTAGGGGTAGATTGTCCATAATAGGGGCCCTTGATATAGGCGTCAGTATATTATATATAATCCTTGGTATAAGGAACCCGGAAAAAAAGGGACACAAAACTTGAGAAACTCCCATGCGGAACAACAAAAACATTTCTGTCGAAAGCCAGCACCTTACCTCCCCCAGCCTTCAGCCAGCTTGAGGGCGTTGAATGTCGAGCCCAAAGGCTGTTTCAGGGCCGAGGGGAGCCCACAAAACCAAAACCCGAAAATTGCCGGTGGCGCATCAAAAAAAAATGCTAAGCATCAAAAAAAATTGAGCCTAAAAAACAAAAAATAAAAATTGGCGTCCGGCATCAAAAAATTAAATAAGCATCAAAAAAAATGATGTTCGCAAAGCAATGGCTCGAGGGGGGGGCAGCCTCCCCCGGTCAGATGTAACCTGTGCGTTACTGCCCTCACGACGGTACAGACACCAAGGCGGTCAGGTGTCTCTTTTACAGCTGAGGCACTGGAGTGAATAGTCACAGTAATAGTAATATTAATAATGATAGCAATAATAATAATAGCAATAGCAATAGTACTAGTAATAGTAATAGTACTAGTAATGGTAATAACAATAACAGTAATACTAATAATAATAATCATAGTAATAGTAATAATAGTAGTAGTAACAGAAATAATAATAGAAATAAAAAATAGTCATACTCATAGCAATGATAATAACAATACTAGGAATAGAAACAGTAATAATAAGCGTAATAGTAATACTAATAGCAATAATAACAATAGGAATAATAGCAGTAGTAAAAGAGTGGTCGCAGTAGTAGTAGCAGTAGTATTATTATTACTACTATTACTATTACTACTACTTTTACTTATTACTATTGCTATTTTTTTCATCTTACTGTGACTGTGCTATTACTAATGCTACTATTTTTACTATTACTATTACTATTACTATTACTATTACTATTACTATTACTATTACTACTACTATTATTGTATTATTATTACTACTGCTAGGACTATTAATATTACTATTAGAAAGGATCCAAGCCGAAAGGCTCAAAAAAAAAACTTTGCTCATCAATTTTTTTGATGCTCATCAAATTCTTTTTTGATCCCGTATCAATTTTTTTTGATGCCTATGCCAAAATTGCCGAGGTGGTCGTTCATCCGTACGACGACCACCAAACTGAACACGCGCACGCTGAAAATCCTCTCGCTAGCGCCACTCTCATTAATGCCATGACCACCCACCACCCAAACCAGCATCACTACTAGCCCCACCAGCAGTCACCACAGCTGCTGTGCATCATTCCTCCTACCTCACAAGACCCAGCCATCCCTCATTGAAACACCCGGCCTAGGTATGATAGGAAGAAGTCTGTCGCCTTGCTCACAAGCTGCTCACCTCCATCCAAGTCTTCCTCAGATGAACAACCTCTTGCTCTACCAAAGCAGTATGTAATACGAACAATTGCACTCGAGGCATAACGACCTAGCTTTGTCTGAGATAACAACAATCGGCAACATCATCAGCAGCAACAAGAAGCGTGCAACATCAAAACACCATGCCCCTGGCATGTTGTTGTCCCTCGAACCCCCCGTCAGATTCTTCATCCCCACTTTCAAATCAAAACTGACAGCCAATCACGAATTCTGAACCTGTTGGACATAAGTTTCCGGTGGTAAAAAAACATGAAATGCACTAGGAAAGAAAGGTGGTTCAGCTTATCCCGCACTAGCCAAAACACAGACCCTGAGCCCTCCATGCTCTTTTCACTTCACCAGGACCACGTGTTTGTACAGTTCCCTACAAACCACTAGTATACCCGCAGAGTCTCTGTGATTTGCCCCGTGTACATATGGGTGGTTCGATGAATCAGGGCCCAAATATAAATCCTCATAGACCCCCCAACAGATACCCCTAGCTTTTGGAAACTCCCACATCAAACTCGAACTTGGAAACAAGCCGCAGTCTGCAGCTCATCGTCTTTCTCCACAGCTGGATTGCCATGTGCCACCTGAACACAGTGCCTAGAAACAAGGAAAAGCACCACGAATCACGCTACTTGCATGTTCCGAATGTTCGGCCTTGACTGTATCTGACTGACATGAGGGAACATCAATAAAACATGTCCTCTCCGACCCTGACTTTCTAACCTTGGATCCTAAACCCCAACTCCCACACCCTTATAAATCGCCAACCCCAAAACTGTAGCCCCCTTAGACCTATAATAACATGATGTGTCTAAGAATTCCTTAGGGTTATACTATAACAAAAATCAAGAACAATTCCTAAGGAGACTACAAAAAACTTACAGTAAACCCTAACATCCCGACCCTCAGAATTCTACTCATGCCTGACTGGGAGGCGAGGATTGGATCTTTAAGCAGCCTGCAGGTGTCCGGTCCCCGCTCACCCATTCTACACACAGCACTCCTAAACCCAGAACCCTATTGCAGGGGCCTACATGACTACCAAAATCATGTCGAACTTCAGTTAAGATACCCTATACAAGGAATCTAGAACCAGTGGATTGGTCATTATTTAAGCCCTTACAAGAAAGTCACAAGGGCCTCCAGCATCGCCTCAACGATCGCCTCGCAAAGCCACAGATCCCGATCCTGGGCAAAATCCAGGTACAGGGCTTAGGGTTGGTGTGTAGGGCTTTGGGTTTAGGATTCAGGGCTTAGGGTTTAGGGCTTAGTCCTTCAGGTTTAGGGCTTTGGGTCTTTGGTTTGGGGTTTAGTTGTTAGGGTTTTTGGTTTAGGGTCTAGGGTTGAAGGCTTAGTCCTTAAGGTTCGGGGTTTAGGGTCTAGGGTTTAGAGCTTCGTCCTCCAAATTTGGGTTTTAGGGTCTAGGATTCTGGATTCTATGGCCGCCATGCGCATTTCAGCTTGTACACAGGCCTTTGGAAAATTCTACGGTTAAAGGGAAGGCGTAGGCGCGGTTTTTAGAGTAACGAGGTTTCTAGTATGGCTTTAGCCAATGATCCAGAAAAAGACCAATTTTCTAGAGGCTGTAAAGCAGAAGATGAAGAGACTAGCAAAAAGGCTCCTCCTATGGGTCTTCCATGCAAAACGCAGAAGGTTTGAAAACTCCCAGACACTGCCCCTATGAACTAAACCCCCATACCTGAACCGAAGACCCTGCACTCGAAACCCCAGTACAACTCTGAAACCTAAATCCCTACACATTCATGTCCTAATGTCAAGGTCCCATACCCCAAACCCTAGAGCCCCAGTCCGGAGTCTGGCTTGGAATCTCCCTTCTGTCATCCCAAACGACCCTAGGTCTGCAACACATTCTTTCCGAAAACTCTCCCCCACAGCCTCTTGCGGAAAATTGCTTTCGCCATCTTGAGACTTGCTTGATGGAACCTCTCTCCCCCACGAGTTATGGTCAGTAACCTAGACCCGAAGCTCTAGACTCTAAAAACGCTGATCCTTAAGCCCAGTGCTCTAAACTCGGAACTCTCGGCCCTCAACCCCTCAGCATCTAATGTGCGTTCGAGGCTCCTGCCTGTGGTGTTGGCCCGATTTGTGTGTGGATTCAACTCCGGCCCGTACACAGCTCAAGGCTGAGGCGACATGCGTGTCATAGAGACCCTTCCTTAGGGCTTAGGGTTTAGGGTTTCAGGTTCGGGGCTTCGGGTTATGGGGTTCAGCGTTTTCAGTTCAGGGTCCCCACAAACATGGAACCTGAAACGGGGCCAAATACAAACTACTATCTATCCTTTTAATGAGGCGCATGCAATTTTCTGGGAGAGTAGCTAACCAAGTCTTGGAGAAGCTAGGATTCAGGGTTTAGGGTCTAGGGTTCCGCTCAGAGTTCGGACCGGCTCACTCTCCAGTGACTAAACGAACAAACGTCCTGAAACCGATCTGCACTTGCTCAAACTAGAGGACCCTAAGCCTCAAACCCTAAACCCCAATGTGATTTCAGTTTTGGCCCGACTGAGTTGATGCCTGTCACCTGCCAACAAATGTTGCAACGTAGGCGTGCATGCACATCTTACAGTAAACCTGCAAGCCCACAACCCAAAACCGGCCAATCCTCAGCCTATCTGCCCTAGAACCCCTCAACACATCTTAGCGGTTTATTGGGGCGAGAGAATACATAAGGAAAATTAAAGCTTCTTTTCGAAACATCCCAAGATAATCCTGCCCGAGCCCCAAACCGTTTGTCAAGAGTCTTGTTGAGAGCCCTCGCCAATCTGGTGAGCTTTCGGACAACATCTTGCATGGTCTCATCGATAAATTCATGTTTACCTCACAACCATAGGGCTTTTTGTTAGGATTGAATGGCTTTGTTAGGGTTCAGGGTAAACCCTAAACCCTAAAGCATGTTTGGGGACCAAGTGCGACCTACCCGGAGCTGCTTAAACAGTTTCAACTCGATAAAGATACAGCTCAAGCGGATAATCCAATTGGGATCCCTGAATACGGTTAAGGGTTTAGGGTTGGTAGATTCTGCCATTAGGATCTCCTTAATTCCATACCCTCTCAACGTCCTAGAGTATGCTTCTTCATTAAACGGAATCCCCAAAGAAACATGAATCTTTAGGAAACTTCATGTGAATGTCGGTTTGAGACTGCTGTTTGTCTGTTTTTGGGGTTGCTCGCTCCCTCTCAACGTTTTCCGAGAAAGCGCCCAAGCGCAAGGACAATGTCCTGAGATGGGATCAACCTAAACCCTTGACCCCTAAACCTTGAAAACCGAAACCCTAAGCCCCCAACCCCTAAACACCTGAACCATAAACCTCTAAGTCCTAGTGAAACAGCCTTGCAAGGTCTGCAGTGTCCAGGGCACAGGTTCCGCAGTTCACGGTTCAAGGTAGAGATGTAGGATTGTGCAGTTAGACCACACGCTGGCGAAACAAGCCAAGTTGTAGAAATGAGCTTGATTCAGAAGACCCTCTTTAAAAAAAAACACAGATCATAGCCCCAAAATCTTGTCGAAAATACATAAGGGAGTTCCCCACAACTTCAAAAAAACTGCAAGAAGAGTGACACCTTGGTCTCTGAGTTCTTTCATAAGACACTTTTGGGCAGTGGCAACATGGGCCATGGACAACTTTTCCTGTTCAAGGCTTGAACTGCCGAAAACCGCTGTTAGCAGGCACATGCCACACACGCCTTTACGGGTTGGTATGAACCATTGGCTGCTCAAGTGGTCAATATCTGGTCATACACGCACGCCTGGATCCTTTCAAACTGATATCCTTCGAAGTTGTCTCAATTCTGTGCAATATCTGCGTGCAAGATACTGGCAAGGCTGAGTAAGTCATCATGGGGCACATCGCTGTCATCAGTAACCGTTAGTTCATGGTGCCGACTGTCGAGGATGATGAGTGGAATGCCGCAGGTCACCTTGCAACGGCCCGTCATCCCAAACTACAATTTCTACCCTCAAATAGCAACAAAAAAAATCCTATGCGATGCTAGACGATGTTCGCAACAAATGGGAAATCTGCAAACGCGCAATAAGATTACCAATCCGTGCATTCTGACCCAGCACTTATACATATGTGCAGTCACAGTGGCACTGAAACACCTATTTCAGGAGGGCATCTCTTCGATAGTCAGAAATGTAACAGATGCTTGGGAGGCCAGGCCGGCCACTTCTTCAAACAAGATTCCACCCAAACCTTTGACCCGTACGCAGCCTACATCCCTAAGGCTGACCTAAAATCACTGTGTACCCTCCAGGCTTGGCCAAGCCGTACCCAAAGGTGCTTCAATTTCTCATGAAGCAGACCAAATATGAAGCAACGTACCAACCTTGTTCCTCGCCGGGCCCTGCAAGACCGACTACTTGTTTGGAAACACGAAATGTCCCTCGCAAAATCATCTTACGACCTCTCAGGATCCAAAGCATGTGCGATACGCATGAAATTCTCCAAGCCCCCATAGAAACCCAGCTTCCATTTCGTGATCCATTTGACCTTCCAGTTGATTGCCTGCTAGATTCTCCACTATCCTTTTCTTCTAATGAATCCATCGCTTGCGGGTACAACTGCATCCTGCGTGCGGGCGGGCCACATGGTTCGCCACCTGTGAGGTCAGACATGACAAACTTCTGCTTGCCCTACACTACATTTCAAGAAGGAATATTCCTGTGTAGGGAAGGCTACTTGTTATTCCGGGTGATTCTTTCAAGGACTCCAATTTTATTTATGACAATGGGGTTAATACTTATCCCAAAATGCCACCTAGTATTCCTTCTACACTGAGCCCTCTCTGCGTACAAGCCTGGCCTAGCTCAGTCTACATCAGCTCAATCGTGGAGCTTTGGGAGGTTTTCATGGCTTCGCATGTGGACGGTAAACAAAGAGCTTAACTGCTGTAGACCCTGGGAACTACCAGGGAACTACCAGGGTTGCAAGGCACGGATGGGAACAGATCCAGGGAATACCACCCTTTGGTTGCTTCAAATTCATGTAGTCTACCTTCCTGCCCTCCCCTCCTTAGGGCGAAATTGCCTGGACTGCTAAAGTTAAGGTCCTTGGCAGAAAAGGGCTCAGCAACTTGCAGTCCGCATTTGGGATCTCGTTATCAACAGTCCAAGCCGATCTGCGGTGAGCAATACAGAAACGGCATGACAGAGAAACACAGGCAAGCAATGATGCCGCAGCGTGCTGCAGCACTGTGGGATGCAGGAAGGACTGGAATTCAAGAGCAGTAGAATGGGATCCGTAGCTTGATATCAATATCCTGTCAAACTACATGATGATAGGCGGTGCCCACTTCACCCCACGAAGGAAGGCCCGCCTGGGGGCTCAAAATATTCAGGTCACCACACGTCCACAGCGCCAGGACAGGCAGATACGAGTGAAGGGAGGTGACGAACATATTCTCAAACTGCACAGCCGCCCGCGAGTCATGCAGACGGTCATCATTCCTCGGTCCCAAGGTTAGAGGAAGGGAGTGCAGGCGTGCCACGGTCGAGGCTTTAGGGTTTACGGTCCGAAATCCTGAATTTAAGGGTTATATGAGCCATTGTCTAAACCTCTTGTATGCCGCGTAATAACCCCTCTCATACTGCGCTATAGACCCCTACATAGCCCCTTTAAAGGGGTTTAGACTATAGCTCACTGACACCCGTGCGCTACCATGAATGACTCAGCCAAGCCGCAGACATTCGAAGATCACGTAGGCCGCAGCACCCTTTACCTCAGAGGCTATAGGGACCTTTGGGTTTAGGGCTAAGGATTTAGGGTTACAGCTGCGGCTACCACAACGGGTAGTAGGAGTTATAGAAGCCACCTAACCAATCCCCTGTAAGGACAGCTGCAATGAGGAGGAATGACGGTTTAGGGTTGGTGATTAGAGTAACAGTTCTATCGCTGGGATTCCGAAAATCAGGGAGTTCCTTTTTGGGGAGGCAAACTCACAATGCAAGAGTGACCCCAATTTCTGGAAACCGCAATACAGGGTCTGGTATGGATTTGTAGATGTTTTGTGCTACCTCTTAGGGGCCTAATTATGGGGCATGAAACAACCTAAACACAGACAGGCCAGGGCTGTGCCGTAAATTTGCCTACCCGCAAGATCGAAAGTAATGCGTCCATCTGAAATTTTCGAGCCCAAGAAGACTTCTACTGTATATGTGGGGAATATCCATCCCAAACTCTACACCTTAAAGACGTCCAAAGGGGCCTAATCCACATCCAAAGCCTGGCGGAATCTCATTCACACAGGTCCCAGTCACCAGCTTTTGCCGGGGCCAAAAGGCAGGATCGCATCCAAACTTGTGAGAAAGGGCCTCTCATGAGAAGAAGCTAAGATTTCACCTAAAGAGTTAAGGCCGCTTAGGATTTAGGGCTTAGGGCTTCACCGGGGCAAGCCTGGGATTCAGGCTGCATGTGTTTGGGTTTTGGGCTTCTGGGCTCGCAATCTTAAAAACCGCCTCGGAAGCTTGCATTCATGCACCGATCATTCCGTCACACTTGGGCTAGTTTCCTCTGGCAAAATTAGCAGCATGATCCCCTTTGATACATGCTTTAGGTCGAGTGCTCTCAAACATGTTTCGTTTATGTCTTCGTCGTCGTATGGATGTTGTCCAGGTGGGGGGGGGGGGGCATTATAGAAAACGGCTCCCTCCACAGTAATGCCAAATGCCCAGTTTTGGTTCACACATAAGGTCACTCCCCAGTACAGTAACCATTACCAAAAACGGTACAAGTAGCTACAGTAGCCCCTTCATAAATTTTCCCCTTTACAGTACAGCAACAGTTACCACAAGAAGTACAATGAGATACAGTAGTGGGAGTGGGAACGACTGACTATTGGCATACAGGGAACCCAGGGATTTAGGTTTGAGGATAAAAGGTTGGGGGCGTAGGGCTTTTAAGTGTTCGGGGTTTAGGGCTCATGGGGTTTGGCTGAGACCTTAACACCTTCAAACCCACACTACAATTCCTGCGTACTGCCAGAGAACTCCCAACGTCTAGGTCTGTGTGGAGTTCCTCTCCAAGCTCTGATCCATGAACACCATGCCCCTATGTCAGCAGCCTTGCCCTAGCTTCACCCCTAATTAAAATTGCACATTAGTTAAAACAAGTGGCATTGCGAAGGTGGTTCCTCACCCCAAAACACTACCGATAATCTGTACCTCCACCATCTCCATCTATGGTCTCTACAACAGAATTCCACAGAATTCTTCCAAGTCCTACACGCATGACCAACCACCGTCACAAAACGGCTGCCTCAAAATAACCTGAGCTTGTCCCCAACAGTTTTGATGTAGCCCTTCTAAGAATTCTATGCAATTTGGAGGAGTCTGACTTGGCTCCCTTTGGCCTTCACAAAGCTGGTCTTGCTCCAGGTGGCACTTTTTTCCTTCAGGATGTGCTCCACGCTATCACTCTTCCTCAAATTTGGCAAGGTGGTGCTGGTAGCGCAATGTTGTGGGTGGATTTTACTTCATGCTGTTTGGACCCAAACCCTTCATCCCCGAAAAAATTATCGATAAACCCGCGTGTCCATGTCATTTTCAATTTATTTTTCATCTGGCTCTCAATTTTTGGAAGCCACTCAAACGTATTTCGCTCCCTGCAGGCGAAGCAAGCAGAGGCTGATCTAGCGTAAGCATGACAAGTAGGTTCCACAACGAGGCCACCAACGGTATGCCCGAAATTTGGAAAATGCCAATGCCCCTAAACCCTAAACGTTGAACCCTAGAACCCTAAACCCTAAAACCCAATGCAAGGACCTCCCACGACAGCGATCCGCAAGCTTCGACCCTGCAAGCTACCACGGGCACAGTTAAAATTGCTTACTGCTGACAAAAGAAAATCCTGCATCACCTTAGTATGCTATAACACCCTAGTTCCCAAGGTATCGCGTACTCAAACTCATGCAGGATGCTGAATATCAACCCTATGCACCCCATAAAACACTAGGTTCAATTTCATGTTTGACTTGATTTTCCCTTTGATCCTCCACTGTTTGGGCAGACTCCCCTAAACCCTAGGGGAGAACTGTCGGTCCTAAACCCACATCCTTTCACCCCAATCCCAAACCTCATCCCTAATCCCTGAACGCTGAACCCTAAACCTAAACCCTAAACCCTAAACCTAAACCCTAAATCCAAATCACAGCCCCCGCGGCATGGTGGACCTCACATGCAGGTTCCAGGCATGCTCGAAGATCCTGAGTTCGGTTTAGGCGGCAGTTTTAGGGTTTAGGGCTTAGGGTCTAGGGTTTGGGCTTTAGGGCTTCGGGTTTAAGGTTTAGGGTTAGGGATTAAGGATTAAGGTTTTGGGTTTAGGGCTCAGGACTGCTAAGCAAATTTATGGCTCAAGACTCGCAGGATTAAGGGTTCAGGGCTTAGGGTTTAGGGATTGGGCTTTCGGGCTCAGGCGGACGTAAAGAGCTACTCCTTTCCCATAGCAGACCCAGAAGAAAACTAAATGCCTCCAAAAAAGAACAGAACTGGCTTCCTGTACACTCTTCTCGTGATGAGGTCCCTCCCGGAATCCCAAAATGCGATTTCCAAAAGAAGCGGAATTCTACTCCGAGTTCTAGGAATTTGCACCTTGAATAGGGTTGTGATGTACGTCTACACATGATCATCACTCTTAAACCGCATTGGGTTTGGGTTCGAATATACATAACAATTTGATATCTTGTTCAACTACAACCCAAGGCACACCATTCGGAAGGGACATGCATCTCCATAGCGCCGTTGGATGGGCGCACACACTTCAGCGAAGGCCATGGTAAGGCTGCAGGAGCTCGTCCCAATAATCAAGGCCTGCAGCGAAGAACAAACACTAGGTAGAGTTTAGGGTTTAGGATTCAGGGCGTAGGCTTTAGGGCTTTTGGGTCTAGATTTCAATGGCACAGCTTACTTCCATCCCACCTTCATAAAACAGAACCTGCCGAACTTCGTGGCAGTCCAAAACAGTGCAATCAATCAAGTGTGTCTGGATGGGGATCCCTCTGAAAATGAACTGCGTTGATTGCTAGTTTTGGCGGGGACAGCTGTTGGCAACACTACTTAGCCCTGCTTAGTTGGGAAAGAGGATAACGAGGGAAATGGGATACAGGAGCAGTTTAGGGTCAACATGTGGCATTATGTTGGGACTGAAGCATGAGTAGGACCATGGATCCTTCACCCTTCAGCGAAGGGCCTGGGTCTTCATAGTCACCGGTAGCAGGATTTCCCTGGCAATCAAATTCAAATCCGTTTCGACCAGCTGCTCCTGGGCTTCTTCTTGCTGCGTGTTAACAGGGAAGGAAGGAGTGGCTAACAAAATGGAAGTTGCTGCGTGTAAACAAAATGCAAGTATGAATGAAGATGCCTCTATGTATATATGCCTCTATACATATATATAGCACATATGTATATATATATATATGTGCTATATAGCGTTTAGGGCTCAAGGTTTGGGAATGATGGAATGGAAAAGATTAGACAGGGACTACCACAGGGACCCATGAACTGAAAGAGATGGTAGGATTCACAAGACGCCTGTACTCTTAGCACCCTGCAGCCATTTAAGCGCTTACAATCAAAAGCCTGCAAGGGACCTACGGTTCGTGTAAGGCCCTCCTAAACCCTAAACCAAGCTAAACCCAAAAAAAGAGTCAAAACTTGCTCGCAGATGGAAACCTGGGGTCGTGTCCTTCAAGCTCAGGATTGGCCTTTGTGGGTATGATGTTCTTGATGTTCGGCCGGCCATCCCAGTATGTCCGGCCTGTGAGGGGTTCCCCCAGAAACATGGAACACAGAAGTGGCTCTAGACTGACTGTCGGCTTAAGTGTGCCTGTACGAATTTGGAGCATTAGTTGCGGCAGGGTAGGGTGTGAAGGTCATTCCCAAACACAGAACAGAAGAACAAATCAAGACCTGGACGTCTTCGCAGGCAGTATGGAACCGTGAGGTCATACAATCTTAGGCTCCAGTAGGAACCTCCCATTATCAATACTCATCTGATGGAGTAATCCCTCAACACTACCATTGAACACTCTCTCCACACCTCATATTAATAATGTCCCCCGATGTAACAGGTATATTGAGGGAAATATCCGATATTGGGTGTGGGGATGCTTAGTGCGCGTCTCCCTTCAAAAAAATTGGCTTCTTGTCATCCGCACGTGTAACCTGCACTGGATGGATTGAATTTTCTGCATGCGCCCTAGTACGCCCCCCAACTAGGAAGCAAATGCGTTTTCCTTTTGTTTTTCAGACCTTTTGTCCAAGGGACAGAAGCAAATGCGGTTTAGGGTTCAGCATTTAGGGTCTAGGGTTAAGGGTTTAGGGTTCAGGATTTAGGGTGTAGGGGAAACAACATCACTTTTGAGGCTAATGCCCGGACCCCCTTCTGGGCTTAGGCTTTCATGCTTGCGGATTTGGGTGTTGGACTCTGTACCTGGAAGTTCGTACTTGACCACCGAAGTTAGGGTTCGGGGGTTTAGGCTTGAGGGTTGTGCTCCAAGGAATGCCCGCTTCTTTGATGATCTGTTCAATTGCTAAGCCTGAGCTCCTCATGTCAAAGCCCTCAAGGCAACCCCAAGCCCCGCAATCTCCACAATCAACTCCTTTGACCCAACCTAAATCCCGAATCCCCTCAACCCCACGGCCTGGTCCGCCATCTAAATATAAGCCCAATATACTATAGTAGTTGCCATCTTCTTTTCCATTCAGCCTATATAACCCCAATATACTATAGTATAGACTAAACCCCAGCTCTGCGGGGCGTTCCTCTTTGGCTGGGAACTAGACGAATGACCAGCTTTGGCTCATGGATTCCTAGGGCCTCCCTCACCTGCCACATGCTAGAGCTGTTGGGGTTTATGGCTTCGGGTTTAGGATTTGGGGTTTAGGGTTTGGGGTATAGGGTTCAGCCCTAACTTTAGGGCTAGGGTTTACAGATTGGGGTTTGGGATGTACCTGTCCCCCCGTGACCAGTAAGTAGGTTCCCTTTTGTAAGTAGGCTCGCTTTTGGGTTAAGATCTCGTTTTTAGGAATCGTACCCACTTGTCCGTCTTAGGACGTTTAGAACAACCCCCAAACAGGTGGAGTCAGTGTGTTTACGGGTCTAGTTTGCTTTAACGACGTCTTTTTCGATATCCCACCTGTCAGCGCTGATTGTGCAGGGCTTGGAATTGTGAACAATTCATGGAAGGTCGGAGGCATGGCCAGTCTTCCGGTTTGTTGACACAAAGATGCAAGAAGTTTAAGTGTAGCAATACCATTGCTTTTTCTGAAGAACACAGGTTGGAAGGACCGCCAAGAAGGCTTTCGGGGGTTCAGCCTCAAGGTCTGAGGGCTCGAGATCAGATCCACCACCAACCTTCCAGCCTGAACGAACGGGAGGCCCAAGGGACACTGGGGATATTTCGGGCTTACGGTAACGGGATTGTGGGGTCCCCATAGGGATTATGTAAGGGCTCTTTGAGAAACACTCATATGCGGATTTCTGGCAACAGAGGCATCTCAGCGACCAGGAGATTACAAACAGGAGTCTTGAGAAACTCCTGCATTAAAAGTTTGGGCACCACCCTGCAAAGCACGAAACGGATCAGAGGGAGGCGGAGGTTGTAGGATCACCAGTCATCGCCCCAACCAACAGTTATACTGTGTCAGGCATTATACCACTTGACAAGTCTTGGGTTGCACCTTGAACCTTTAATAAGACTAGTCAACCTCCTCCGAATACAACCCAAGGGTTTACTGGCAATGAAGAAGCCACCCCGTCATAAGATTAAAAAAGCTTAATCTAAGGATCAACTGGCCATCTACTGGGGTGGAGTTGCCAACTTAAACGGAATTTTGGCAAACCCAAAGCCCTACATCATGCACGTTTTGCGATAGCCCCGCCATCGGCATCTGGACCGGAGAGACTTTCAAGGCTTGATCCTTAGATGCTCAGGGGCTTGATATGAGGGTCTGGAGTTTAGGGTTCTGGCATTTCAGCATAGTAGGGCTTACGAGGTATTTGGGCTGATAAGGGGGCAAGGGATATTGGGGCATAGTAGGGCTCAAGGTTTAGGCTCAGGATTTGAGATTTGGATCATGCACAAGCACAGGACCTAGTTCACAGTTACGAGGTTGGGGTTACCCGTGCATGTACCATGCATCATAGCCAGGACTGGAAGCCTGAAACCACAAATTGTGACCCCAAGCAGAGGTGGGGAACATCTTACAAAAGTGAGAACCTAGACTCCTGCAATTGTGGTACGTTGGGTTCAGGTAAGCCAGAAGCACTACACTGCAAACCTTGAGCTTGAAGCACCATGACGTCAACCTGAAACGACAAACCCAACACCCTATGCAAGCTGGGGACGTTCGTGAAATAGATCATGCGACTGTTGTGCAGTGACTCTCCAAGGCTGTAGTTCACGGAGGACACCATGTACCGCATAGTCTCCACCTGATGAGGAAGTCTCTCAGTACAGCGAGGTCTGAAGCCTTTCCCTATAAGCATTCTGGTTTTGGGTGGCATTGGGGAACCACAACTTCCAAACAACAACTTGTGCACAATCCTTCGTGACCATCAAGCGAGAGCATTGCGCACGGCCGATACGAGCCGCTCCTTCTTCCAGTGGCCTCCTTCCGAAAGCCTATGAGCCCCCGGTAAACCTAGGGAATAGCCTTTAACGCAGAAGTGGGAGTTGTGTTATGAGCAAGAGGCAAGGCAGCATGATCCAGTCAAAACTGGCTGATCGGTTGGAGTACAGCCATGACATTGGTGCGTAGACATCACCTGTACTAAGCCTAGCAATGAGACAACCACTCCGTAAAAATATCGCGTGTATACTAAGAATAACAGCCCTAAACCCTAGACCCTAAACCGCCTATACCCTTGACAGGGGTCATCCCCATGGTAATCCCAGTGCCTTCAACCGAGCGAGCTCCTCCTCTGCGGAGGAAGGCCTCGACACTTCATCCTGCTCCTGTTAGAATGTGAGCCATAGTCTGAAGTCCTAGTATCCCTCTTCATACGCCCTTTAAGGAGTTTAGATTATAGTACATGTGCAGTGTTTAGAGAGAAACTTGTTTGAACATATTCCGGGGCTAGGCGATGAAGGTCAAGGGGTCTACGGTTGGAGGTTCAACTGGATGCCATTGACTGTACAAGGCCAAGGGAACTCTTGGGGGGACCTCTGGCAAACAGAATTTCTCAGAAGGCTCCGTAAACCCTGAACCCTGAACCTGGCTCCTTGTTGGCACGAGAGGACGGTGAGTCGTCATCCACAGCCCCCTCCGTCTGCTTCATGCAGTCCACAAGGTAACCCTGTCAAAGAAAAGACAACAAGGGTTTACGGCTTAGGGTTTAGGGTTACAATAGCCATGATGAACATGGTGACGGCAGCCTTTCTCATGGTAGTGTTCATAGTACGGTGGTATGAGAAGAGCCCGAAAGAATAGGAAGAACACTACTGCTACCAGGATTGAAGACCTTAGGTCTACATGTTGGTAAAGAAGGCTGCCTCTCTGGGCGTGCTTCTCCAAACTGCAAACCGTACCTTTACACCCAAAACCTTCACCCTAAAAGTTTTGCCGCTCCCCTGGCTCCCCATCCTGTATGTTGTCAAACTTCAGCGGCTGGTTCTGAAAGGCTTTGTAGGCCGCACCCACAAAGGCTCCAGCTCCCCGCAAGCTGGGCGGGTGGCCCAGGGGCGGAATGAGGCCAGAAAGTGATAAAGAGTTTGTCGCCACCTCCTGGCGTGTGTCTAAGGTCTGCCTTCTCGGTTGGTAAAGGGCGTACGGTTTAGGGTCTTGATTGAGGTTTCTAGGGGATAGTCTTGGGATATAGGAGTTACGGCTTAGGAGCTAGGGTTTTAAGATGTTGGGCTGTGATCCTGTCAAAAACGGGGCATCTATCCTAGCACGCTAGTGCATTATCTTCCCAAACACTCATCATGACTTTGTTCGCTTGATACCAGGTTAGAAATGGGGAATCTATAGGCTATGGTGGGCCGAGATCTGCGGCCGCGAGCCCTAAACCGTAAACGCCCAAGCCTAGACTCTACAAACCAGACACCCTGAATCCCTTCAGTCCTTTGCCACCTGCTCCACTGCATGGGGCAGCTGCGCTGCCAGAAGTCCAGCTATCGAGCCAGGGCCTGCCTTTGCCTGAACGTCGGCCAGGGACCTCAGGTTGGAATTATGGGCGTTAATATTATGCTTTGCGGTTTAGGGCCTTCAGAGTTTTGGCTTTCAGGGTTGAGGTTTGTAGGTTTTAGGGATTAGGGTTCCCGGCCCCCAAAACAAGCCCGTGCTTGGGGCCCATGGTGGCGACCTGCTGGCAAAGGTGCAAAGGCTTAGGATAAACGACTTGAGGGTTTGGCTTTGAAGTGTGTAAAAGGTTTGGGATTTAAGGTCTCGGGTGTAGGGTTTCGGGTTTCAGGTGTAGCAAAGGTTCAGAGCTTGGGAAACTGTTGTCTCCCCTGCATAGCATCAAAGACCACTATCAATGCCGTGAAGTGTTGAGGTTGACTTTTTGGGGGCTACTGTCGTTGTTACAGGCTGGCTTCTTGGTCTTTGTAGAAGTCGATTTCGTGTTCCAACCTACATTTTCTGAAGGTTTTGAGCTTGACGTGGCAACGCTGCAGGCGAGAGAGCCCAATTTTGTACCATGTCCTCCATGCCAATCCAAATGTGAGGATTGTGCAGGCGAGCATGAGATTTCGAGCAAAAATATGAGGATGCTCCACACGAAGCCGTGATTTCGAGCCTAATGTCAGGATACACGAGAGGCCGAACGGAGAAGTCCGAACAAAAAAAATGTCTGTGAAGCCATCCTTGCAAGAGCGCTGTTTCGATTGGCTGCCTGATGAAAACAATATACGTGTATGTTCTCGAAAGCCCGACCTGGCAGCAAGTATGGCTGATTGCCCGCATGTGTACAAATCATGACAGATGATGGTAGAAAAGAGTACCCATGTCACAATGTCCACCAACATAGCTTCCCCACAGAGCCACTATCCATGCACAGAGGAACTTCGTGCCCGGCTTCAAGACTGCGTATTTGAGTTTCCGATAATTAGGGGGGCCCATCTCCAGGGTTTGGGGTTTGTGAAGGGGCCTTTTGGGCACATAATGACAGTGTGAGGATTACAATTGTTGGGGGGCTCTATAGTGACCCTCCCTTTTGGCAACCCCCATATGTAGAAACCCCACGAAGCCCTTCAGCAGCCTTCACCTCTGCCCTCCGAAGACTTCAGCTATAGTCTAAACTCCTAGTATCCCCCTTAGTAATAAACCCGATAATACTCCGTATAATACCCTACCTACCATGTGACCCCTTTTAAGGAGTTAAGACTATCGCTCACTTCATGTGAACACGAGGGGCGGTTGGGGCGTGGCTCCAGGAGCGTCGCCAGCCTAACAACCGGGCTGAAGCGCATGTGTTGCCTACTAGTACTGGCATTGATGCTGTGACTACTGCGACACTCATCACAAGTACGCTTCAAGTCCTGACTCTGAATCGTTCCCGATGATGGGTCCTTCGCCTCCTCTTTCTTCTGCTGCTGTTATTCCCTTGTTAGCATCCTGTTTGTCTGCAACGGGTAACATGCTCACGGGTCGCGCTGAGGATCGCCAGGCTGCAAACACGGAAAACCATCTTTTCTAGACCTTTCAAGGCACAAACGAGAGCCTCAAACCGTAACACCGAAGCCCTGAAACCCGACCCCAACTCCTAACCCCTAAACAAAAAGCCCTGAGCTCAAACCCCCAGGCCCTAAACCCGAACAACAAGCAATCTACGTAATCAACACTCGGGTCACTGCTTTGGCTGGCTCCGATGACGCGCTGGCCGCTGCGGGCCCCAAGGTCGTCGCGTCCTCAACAAGTAATTGGGTGTCAAGGTTTACGACTTAATGGGTAGGGTGTAGGGTCTGGGGTTAGGGGTTCATGGCTTTGTGGCAAATGCCTAGGTGTTGTGGGCTAGGGTGCAGGGTTGCCTAATCTCTTGGCAAGAGGAATGGCTTGGAAGCATGCGGAGCTTCAAGCTATACACAAGGCTTGCAGAGGACTCGTGCACATCTTATGTAGATCTTAAAGATGGGAAAGACTTGTGCTTTGCAAGAAGGATCCATGGTGGTGTGGTGGCGGCTGTGGTGGTGGTGGTTGCGGTGCTGGTGGCGGTGCTGGTGGTGGTGGAGGCGAGGGTGGTGGTGATGGTGACGACTACGGCAGTCACGACTATGGCGGCAGGGGCGGCAGTGCATATGATGGTAATAGCATCAACAGCGGCGCTGTGGTGACAACACCTGAGGTTATATTTGCAGTTGTAACATTGCAGCACTGGAATTCCAAACATCTCTGTGTGTGTGGTCAAAACGCAGTCTTCCTGTCATTATGGTTGTTGATCTTGAAACCCTGAGCTGGTCATTGTGAATTCAACCTACTGCTCTGACTCTGGCTGCTGTTCTCGATCTTAATGCAATCTCTAACTTTATTCCTCTTCGTCTTCTACGTCCCTTGATTCTGCAATCCCCCTTGTTGCTCTGACGCTTCGCGCTGCTAATATTGCCTTACTACTTCATCACGGCTTCTCATGTACACATCTGGCTACTAAGACTGCAATGGAAGAACGGGATCATCCCCTCGTGTCCACCATTAGGTGCAATCTATTGTCCAGGCATACTCCTAACTCGACCCCTCAACAGCTGAACAAGAGAATTCCTTTCAGGTCCAGCAACTTCTGTGCTGACTGCTTCCCAACTGTACAGTCGACCACCAACGATTCGTACAAATTCATGCCCTGAAGCAAACTTGAAGCAGAAAGAACAACCCAAGCCCCAAACCTCCACCACAAAACCAAAAACCCAAAGCATAATCATCATACCGCCAAACACTCAAACCAGTGGCCCTGTGCCTTGCGGGGGACCCCAATGTTCCCTCTACCATCCCTATACAACCCCTACAGCATTCGTATACAGTCCCTCTACAATCCCTAAGACCCTTAGACAATCCCATATAATATTGCCCCTATACAACCCCTACGTGTCCCCAGAGTCCACAAAGGGCCCTCCTGAACCCCAAACCCCAAAACCTAAACCCTAAATCTTACGCAATCTCTATGTGCCGTTAGAGTCTACAAAAAGGCCCTCCTTTTTAAAAACTCGTCAGCTGCCTTTGGAGTCTCAGCTCTCGGTCTCAGCCCGAGCGACGTCGACGCCTTCAGAATTCAGGGTTGAGGGTCTAGGGTGTAGGGGCTTCGAATTTAAGGGTGTATTTTAGGGTTTAGGGTGTCGGGTTTAATTCGAGGTTTACAGCTGGAGGCCTGGAGCATGATCTTTGTTACGGTAAACTGAATTTTGGCTTGAAATTGTTGCCTCCCTTTTTTCAACAAACAAATATGTTCATCCCGGCGGGTCCGTGCAGAACAGGCTTATCAGGGGTGCAGCGGTATCGGATTCTCATTCCATTGTCCGCGCAAGCGTGGGGGTTCAGTGGGGGTTTTGGGAATTGGGCCGAAGCGTGCCATCCGACCTTGAACTGCTAGATGCCTGAGCGCACAAAGCAATGGTCAATGAATGTCCGGCCCCTGCCTTTGCTAGCTCAGATTCCATTGAAAGCCCTGGAGGGCTGGAATCCTGAGTTCCCAGGAAACGTGGGTGGCCCTCAGGAAACTTGGGGATATACAGGATTCCAAGAGGATTCCAATTTTTGCAGGGGTCTTTAGGGTTTAAGGATCTTACACGAGAAATTTTGGTAAACATCTATGCACATGACTTCCACTGGCCGTAATCGTGGTGGTAGAAGGACTTGCAATGGATTGGTAGCAGTAGCAGCGGTAGTTTTTTTTGCGGCAAAGACAGAACATGACATATCTATGGAAGTCTCACTACAGCTTAAGCACAAGTTTGGTTGGTCAGTCTCTCCATTTTGTGTGGCGACCACTTTTTTTGCAGAAGGGCGCGCTCTTGTGGCCTCTGTTTTGTGGAAGTAGTAGGCACTATGAGATAACATTTATGGTTGCTACATACACAATATCATGTTGTTATTGACGGGAAAGATGTAAATCTCTCCTGTGACTTTTTTAGTGTAGCAATCTAAGAAATGTGAACGAAAAGGCTCATTAGCATCCTACCTGTAATAGTTAATATAGGTTAAATGGTAGAAATTGTAGGATTCAGTCGTATATCGTAGGATTCTTTGGAGAGCGGGCTGCAGATGGGGGGTGTGGGGGAGGCAAAAAAACAAAAAAAACAACAAAAAAAAACTCTTGGCCGTCTGAATAAAGGCAAGATTTTTGTTTTTTTCCCCCCAACCACCTGGCCGCCTTCCCTTCAAAGATTCCACGAAATACAACAGAATCCAACACTTCCTACTATTTAGTCTATCCATCTCTTTTGGGGTCTCTTTTGAAATACAGAAATATATATATATATAAGAAAGTGCCCTGTTCCACTTAGTAACGATAATACGTGTTCAACTAAGAAATTGTTTGGATATTATTTAGTAAGAACATCACCTCAAATGGTAACAACAAATAGAGGACGAGTGAACGTTAATGGTGAGCTCCATAAGGAATTCTGTTGGATGTCATTTGCAGGCGTACGTGACAAGCTTTTTCATGATCTCATAGTATAGTTGTTTTCAATAAGCTCATATAATAAAGTGGAGATGTAAAGTTTGACAAGCATTGCTAAATAGCATCCGATGCGTTTTTTCAAGCTTGACGGAAGTTCTATAATGGGATCTTTACTCTGTTATCTCGTCCATCCTTGTAACAAGCATATGATTAAAGGACAAGCACAAGTGTCTCATTCTCTACAGGGCTTTTGAGACGACAACTGTAAAGATCGAGAAGGGATTCAAGGCAGAATACATATATTTTTTGGTGCACCCCCAAATGCTCATAGATACCTCGTTCCATAGGGCCTCCAAGCAAGAAAGGTTAGGTATACACCGCAGCAATGACATTTCAAAGAATCCTTGATACGAAGGCGGAAAAAGCGTAAACCTGGTAAGAAAGGTCTTGTACGGATGATATAAAGAAAACTATAACTGGCAATCCTCTTTCAAATTCAAAGATTCGATTATGCAAGCATTCATCTGCTATCTTAACATTTGATTTTTTGGGCTTACTTCTATGATTTATCAGTTCCAGTAAAACGTGCATTAAACACCGCAGTTTGGGTGAAATCCATTGGGATCCCTATCCGGCATCGTAGTGCTCTTAAATTCCTTTGCGAATTCAATCTGTATATCAAAATTCAGATTGTACACGATTTCTGCAATAAAATCCAGAATTGAAATACCTATGTTTAGCAAACGAAATACCGCTCAAGAATTTGTTGTAGGGATCATGGCTACGCAGTCTTGATCACGGATGACTCATAGAGATCTTCATTTGAAACGAAAAGGAAGGTCTATTAACAAAGCCAAATGGAAACAAGCAACACAGCTTAATCCACGAATTCCCAAACCCTGCATATACTCTGGGTTTCCACATATGCGAGACCCACATCGCGAATTAAGTGCTCAGTAATCTTTGTGATATGTCCTCACTAGATGGCATTCAATATAAATCCTCACTAAAAATGAGAGAAATAAGCAAGATACTCAATAGGGTTTTTTGTGATGGATCCTCCTTGGGGGTTTTGATGGTAATCCTCATTCAGAGTAAAAGTAAAATAGAAGATCCAGACGGACCTTGAGAAAACAACGGAAATGTAAGATTAAGGATTTGCACGAGAGCCAAAGTTTGCAGAACAAATTATGAATTCTCTGTAGACCACGACACCAGCTTGGGGAATATCCATGGAAGAAAGGAATTTTGCAGTGGAGTCTCCATTCTCCATGTACATGACCAAACCTAAAGTAAATCCTGCGCTGTCTCTATACAGACTTTTCGGTGGTTGGCATGAACTTTCATAGCCCATGACGTCTTCCCAACGAAGCTTGATATTCCTTTTCTAGAAACTGTCTACCTATCAACAACTGAAATCTGTGATAGAATCCCCATAGATCATAACTTGGCTAGCAGATTTCATAAGAAACGCAGGTGAATGTATGGACAAGGCAAGATTACATCCGTTTGCACTGCTCGGACTTTTTCCATTAAATCCATGAAAAGGGCTTTACATGAATTACTGAAAGTTGCATGAAAATTACAAGCAAGGTTATATACATCCAGTGAAATACCTCAGAGATTTAGTACTGTGTTCATTTTGTTCTAGATGATACGAGCCGGGTAGACACACCAGGATCTATGGCGTTCCCGTTGGGTTCTCATGAAGTACAGGAGTCCAGTGGAATCCGCCTGTATCATAATGGAGAAGATATGGGGATCCTCATTCAAGCTGATAGCTAGAGTCGCAGCAATATATTACAAATCTCTATAATGTTTTTAAATTCATTCACAATGGTTGGGAAATCAATTGAAAATAGTTGAAACCCCCACAAAACTGAGGCCACAAGAGCGTTCCAAGCTCTTTTTCTGACCGCTACTGTACCCTTGCCATTGCTACAAGTTGGAGTATCACCAATATCACTGCGCTTACAGCTGTCAGGTTTGCCATTGCTACTGTCATGGCAGTCGACCATGAAGGGATTTTGCAACAGCGGTTGGGCTCCCCAGTGGCTCGTAAAGAAGGTGACATTGACATTGGAAACCTTCCAAGGTGCGTTTGAACGACCAAGAGACTGTAACCAGAAAACGGAAGTTAGCACCAGGATATTCTGATGGGGAGCTCTCACAATCCAAGGTATCCGTAAGGACCCCAGGGATATAGGGGGATTACAAACGGATAATAAGGGGTGGGCCCCCTAAACCCTAAACGTTAAAGCCACATGCTTTGAGCAAAGCCCTTATCTTCATGCAACAACTGCCTCCGTTTTTTGCAAAACTTTTGAACGGTGGTCATTCCCAGGATGGTGTAAAACACTGACTGAATTGACAAAGGCTTTGGGGTTTGGGATTTAAGGTTTAGGTTTACGGTGTAGGGTTGCAAACAACAGCAACAATTCTGGGCGGAAGGCGAGGAGAAGAGTATCCTTGCTGCTGCTCAGTGACTGGGGTTACTGGCGGCTGTCCTGCACCAGGGCTGTCGAATTTGTCCAAAAATACATCACCAAGCATTCTGGGAGGCAGGTAGGGGTAATGATGCACGCATTTGAGTTTTGAGTGTACGTTCCTTTTGTACAAGCTTAACATTTTGGGCATATCCAGAAACCACATCTAATGGTGAGGTGCTCTTATGATCTCTGCGGTGAAAGCTCGCAACACATTCTAAACAGAATTCCCCACAAACCCCAACAAGTCTTCAACCACAGCAGAAGAAAAAATGACGCCAGAATTAACATGACGACGAGGATAACTCTAATATATGCAGCACCAAGAAAAGAAACTGCGCAATGGGAATAATATTCGAAACCTCCTTCTTGTTAGACCCGTCCTTGAAACCCTAAAAGAACCTGACAGAAAGACGGCCTGGTAGCTGCCAGGGGTCTGCAGACGCTGTAGAGGTGGGAGGCGGAAAATCCTGGCAGGACTGTTGACATTCAATATAAAACAGCTTCAGCTTGTACAACTGCAGGCCTCAGAGTGACTCTATACCCTGGACGATCTATCCTGAACCTAAGGTACCAGGATAGCATATAGAAAAAGCTCCAAGAGCAACCTGCGTGTCAGGTGATGCCATGGCAGCCGTCTCGACACTTGTGGAGGGATCCATGCTGTTTGACGGAGAAATATGGAGACCTCAAGGGACCTAAGGACGCATGGGGTTATTGCGGGACATATAAAGGTTCAATAAGGTTATATAGGGATTGGTAGGGTTTTTGGGTTTCCTAAAATCAAGGATACCTTCTTGGGGGTCCCCATATTAACGACTATAGTATATTGGGGTCTATATTACTACCATGTAAGGATTCGAAGAGGAATGAGAAGGCGCTGTGGGGATGTTGTAGGGGCTGTTTCAATAAACTCCCACTGGGCAAAGCACCGCTTTAGCAGGGTCTTATAGTGGTGTCAAATACAAATCCAACTGCAAGAGGGATATGTAAAGGATGTTGAAACAACATAGCTTTGCTTCTGGGAATGTTGTTACAACCACGAATGAAGACCAGTTTCAGCTTGCTGCCGGCCTTTACGAGGGCATACATGCTGGGGTGGTCACATTTGTTGTTCAAACTCATGGGTCCCTGCCGGACTTGCTTGCGAGCCAATGCTTCGACGTCCACAAGAAAAGCTGCAAAGACTTGCCGCCTGAAGTTTCGTGTGGTGGGGATCGTAGTATTGTCAGATGCAACAAGTAAGTTTCCCTGAAAACGCGGAGCAGCTTGGAGTAAGAACATCACCAAGCCCCCAAAACAGAAATTTGCTGGCGAGGGTAGAACAACGCCCACAATATGAGTTCGAATCGGTGCCTTGCCATCACGCGATGTCCAACTTTACCTCCCTTCAATTTGGTTAGCTGCCTGTCGCAAAGTCAGACGCTCTTAAAAGCCTGATGGATACGTGAGCATTACTAAGGGATTGTCCGGTCCCTGTTAAGAACCATTGAGGGATGAGCTTACGAAACTCTAGCATTTCACTCACACACCAGCAGGTGCATTGCCGGGATGCATGAGGGACTTGCTAAACCTTAAACCCTTATACCTGAACTCTAAACCCTAAACCCGAAACTCTAAACCTAAACCCTAAAGATTTCTGTGGGGGATAGTCGGGGATTCAATGCTCTGCCTCTGCCTCGGCCTCAACCACTGACTGAGCTCATACTCCGAACCCTTACAAAATTCAAACGAATGAGGGGTTTCCCAAAATTAGGGGCAAGGATTGTAATAAATACTTTCGGGTCTCCCTCTGTAGGGAAACTCCTAAAGAGATCTCAAATAGATCTCGGAATATATTGTAGTTCTCATCATTCCTATCTTGTAGACTGGAGGAATCTGTAAATCTATAGGGTTTAGTGTCTATTTAGGGCTACAGAGTCTGGATGGTCTCTTGAATTCACGAGGACAGACTGCAGCGGAAGCCATCTCTCAGAAAGTGCTGCCTCAGCTTCTTTTGGAGATCCTATGGGGTTCAGGAATTTGGGGTGCTTTTTGGGTTCTTACAACGAGGATTCGAATCGTTTGGGGTGCTTATTGGGGGCCCGCATTGACGGAAACCTCCACAGTATAAAGGGATGTTCGGAAGAGCTGCAAGATTTTGGACTGTGTAATTTTCATCTCAAGTTCATTCTGAGATGAGGCAGCCCTAGACCTAAACCTTAAAAATCCTACCTAAACTTGGGAAACCGATTACAGTGGGGACGATGCCACCCGAATCTCTTGGGAATTTTTGGTTTTCCCCACACCCAACACTAGACCATGACTCTTAGCGGGCTCTTACTATACGGTTGGGGTTGCCAAAATGCTCCTGATATAAACTAGCAGCCACGATTTTAAAAACTCTATCTAAGCCCGACAACAATACAATGTTCACTGGACCCACACAACCACGGCATCAAAGCCAAACGGCAGCTGCAACCACAGACAGTTTGCCCACACACAACTTTGCCAAAATACTCTGCCACAGGGAGAACAGCCAGGAAGCTGGTAATTATCATGATGCAGACCCTAACATCTGGGACGCACAAGCTGAGGAACATTCACTGCATGGAGGCCTGCTCATATTGTTGTCATCTCTTCACGCAGTTTTGCGTAGTCTCATCGGGATGATGTGTTTAAGAAAGCTGAACCCCGAATGCTGACGGCTTGCTACAGGTATGCAATACTTGTAGTTTCTGCTTCGGGTATCGATTAGAAGGGTTTAGGGTCGCATCATGTTACATCTGTGAATTGTTAAAGCCAGGCGACGTAGACTTCGCCCAGTGGATGGTCGCGGGCTTCGCCCACCAGTTGCTCCTGATGCAGAAGGCACCGTCATGACATGATACTATTCTTTGCCTACAGCAACGAGTAACATATCGACATGCATAAAGGGAAAGGAAAACTCTGCTCTTGAAGCCAAATTGGATGAGAGGGGAAGGGCCGTCCTGGCCACAAACTCCAAGCCCTAAACCCATTCAACCATGATACTGCGGGGATGCAGGATGTCTAGAATCTAGCGAATCCAGGCTTGACAAGGCAGAGGCCTTGAAAAGATTGCTGCCACCTTCCAATCAAGGCCATCTGCCTCCAAACATCTTCGATGCAACCGACAAAAACTAGACCCCAAATCCAAAATTGAAAACCCCAGATCGCAAACCTCAAACACTGCCCAAACACAAACCTAACCCAACACAATCTAAGCCCTCAAGCCTAAACCCCCAAATGCCCAAACTGTAAACCCATCAGTCCATCATGTCAGTCTCGAGAGCGCCACTGCCGTCTCGACCTGGCCCAGGAGACTCTATTCAGGTCCAGTAAGTAGGGATGGTATAGGGATACATAGCCACGGAAAGGACAATGAAAACTACTATCTAGGGTTTGAGGATTTTACCCCAATAATGAAGAATCAAATGGAAACATGAAAGGGAAACTGGGATTCTAGAAGGTTGTTAGCGACTTCCTTTCCCACCTGGCTGTCGAGGATTCAGGCTTTAGAGTTTAAGGTTTGGGGTTTAGGGTCTTTGCTTTCAGGGTTTCTGGGCGCGTGGTGAAGTACAGACACACATGGTCATCTCGATTCCATATCGGGAGACTGTACAGACTTAGCAATTCAGGATTTAAGGTTTGGTGGTCTGCTTGATGAAAGGATTGTAGAAAGCCGCCAATCATCCCAAAAAAACTTAGAATAGAAAACTAAACTCAAATCCTTTTAAGCCCTTAATCTTACACCCAAAACCTAAACTCAAAACCAAAGAAAGAAGTCCAAATCCCTACTCAGACCCCTGCGTCTCTCCACCCGAGCTTGTTGCGTGGGATTTGAAGCTAATCTGTGTGCGGCTGCGTGGGACACTAAGCAAATTTAGAGCCTGTTTAGTTTGGCACCATAGACTGGTGTACCCTCATTGTTGCTCTGAAAACAAGAATATTCCTGCAAAAAATCCCGAAACTCAAACACCTCAACCCTCAATCTTAGATTTCCGCATGACCCCGCCAGAAGAAGTCCATGAATCCATGTTAAACCTTCTACAAGTTGGCAGTCCTTCTGCGGGATCCATATAAGCGGAACTCTAGCATTTAGGAACATACATACTGTTGATGGGCTAGACCCTGCATTCATCATACTTGGGAGTTGGGCAGGATGTTGCCAATCCGCCTAAACCCTAGACCCTGAACTCCGTGCCCCCAAACCGAAAACCTTAATTCATGAGCCTGCACTTCTCGACC